TCGTCGAGTTCACTATGGACTCGGCGAGTCAGCCAGTTGACTCGGCGAGTCAAGTCGAAAAACCTCAAAAAATTCGATTTTCAGCCAATTTTCGATCAAATAAGCATCAAATTCACTAAACAAACTGCCCTAGGCTCTGATACCATTGATGGGTTTTGAGCACTACGTCAATCCTATGGTATACATGCAAACCCTAATAGCTTTGGATCTAGTTTGTCTAATGAACATGCAATTGAATATCCAAAGCTATAAACCCTAGATCTATCATATACGAACTGAAATAACGGTTTAGTAATTACCTTTGATTGTTATATAGTAATAACAATCAATTCCTTGCTTTGATTGGCTTCAGAAAGCTTAGTGCCTCAAGTGTTGCACCTCTAATGGAGTCACAAACACCACTAAGCAATTGGATGAAGGAGAGAAGAGAGGGGAGGCACCAAAAACGGCTGGAAACCCTAAAGGAACACTTGGCCACGTTTTGGGGCATAGGGATCCTTTATATAAATGTAGGCTATTAGGGTTTGCAACTAGGAAACCCTAATCTGACTGCTTAGGCCCTAAGCAGCCCATGGACTCCTTTAACATATCCCTTGGACGAATTCCTTATGGGCTTCCCATAGAATTCGTCCAACCTATATATTATTAGGTGATCCATAACCCAATTGTAATTATCTTATAATTACAACTCCAGTCCCCTAAGTTTAATTAATCTCTTTTAGTCACAAAATTAATTCTTAATTAATTCTTGACTAATATTAATTAAACAATATGATTTCTCTTTTAATATATTATTCTTATAATATATTAATAAATCATAATTAAACCTTTCTCTCCTTAATTCATCCTACATATTGCTATGGTGAAGGCAACCCAAAAGGACCATGCTCACAATCGGGTCAAGTATATACCAAAATAGTTATGGACTTAGACACTAATTCAACAATTTTCAAATGCAACTATAACCCCTTAAATAATGAACCACAATTGTTCATTGAACAATTTTTAGAGATATAAGAAGCAAACATGCAGCTTTGAAAGAAGGGGGGGGGGGGGTGATCATTACAACACCCTTGAAACCCATGTTCTTTGATTTTTTTGGTTGTGTCATGCTCACCATCAACCCACGATGAACATCATTACATCTACCATCATCAACCACCTGCAACCTGAAATTTGTGTTACATTACGAGATGAGTACACAACTCGCTCCTTTAATTCAGAAGAAAATTGAGAAAAAAAGGGGTGCGAACCTATGGTACGTTAACGACAATGATCTTGTGGTGGTCTGATGATGGTCCTCTGGTGTGGCGGCAGTTCGACAGTGGAGCAACAAGGGAGCATAGTAGGCGAAGAGGAGCGATATGGAAGAAAACGAAGGCGTTTTTTTAGGTTGGAGCTCATTCTTTTTCTTTTCTAATATTTATGTGTAGGATTTAGAAGTGGTTTCCCAAGTCTTTTAGGAGAAAAGCAAGCACAGACGTTTGTGGTTTTCTAAACGGAACTGATTTGTATACACCATTTTTTCTCCATACACAACAATTTGTATTTTAAAATGTTGTATTATACGACTTTATAAAACATAAATTCTTATGGAGAAAAAATTGTTGTGTAGAAATAACTTCCATTTTCTAAAAAACAAACAATATATTAATAAAACACATGCCTTTCTGATAAAAGTGGGCAAAAGCATTGGAAAAAAAACAAATTAACACCATAGTGAGAAATAAGATTTAGAGATGGTTTAGCGTAGACGCGACAATTTGATACACAACACGATTAATACAATATGAGTTTTTCGTGTATGTGTTTTAGAAATCCGTGTTTCGTGTCTATTCGTGTCAACACAAATTTTAAATTCGTGTTTCGTATCTTATGCATGTGAAACACTAATTTACCTTTTTAAACACATATAGACACAGAATAAATTTGTGTTGACACGCGACATATGACATGTATAAACACGTATAAACAAGCGATACGTGACACTTATAAACACGTATATACATATATAAACACGTATAAACATGTATGTACATGTATAGACACAAATTAAATTTGTGTTTATTCGTGTTTTCTTGTAACTCAGTTAAAATGTGTCTATTCATGTCGTGTCACATGTCACACGGATTAATTATATGTTGTGTTCGTGTTTATACCCAAGACACATTTTACAAATCGTGTCGTGTTCGTGTTTTCCAAATTCGTGTCCGACACGTATACTGATATCGCAATAATTATACATATATTTCGAGCGATATTTATGTATTTTTAGCTATATTTTGGTATGATTTAAGATAAAAGGTACTTATAAAGTTTGAATTTCCATTTTACAGCTAAAAAGCATTTATGAGGAAAAAGGATAAGAAAACGTGCAAAAATCCGCAAAAAGAAGTGAAAGAAATTACACGAAGAAAATCGAGATCAAAAAGTCAAAGAATTCAAAGATAGCCGCGTTGGAAAGACGAGAAAACAAAATAAAAATATAAAAAGAATTTAAATTAATTAATGAGGTTTAATTAAAATAAATTATTGGGAATTAATTATTTAATTTCTAAATAATTTATATTAATTAAATTAATTTAATTTAATTTAATTTGTAAAAAAATAGAAAAATAAAAAGGAAAAGAAAAAGAGCCCAAAAATCAGGATTTAGCCCAAAACCCGGAGCCCAAAAGACGGCCTGATCCGTCCACCAGAAGACCCGAACCGAATCCGAGATCCGACCCGTCCGCCCCGCGTCCAAATGCCCTCACAAACTGATCCGGTACACGACCCCACCCAGAGATCCGAACCGGGTTTAGACCCGCGTGTTTTATCGCCTGTGACGTCATCGGTGACGTCATCGGAATCCGATCCGCGCCCAGTTCCGACCCGATCCGACCCGACCTCCGATTCGTTTTACCTCACATGAAGATCCGCGTCTCGACCCAGATTCCGACCCAAATTCGATTCGGTACTGTTCATTGGCAATACGACGTCGTTTTGAGTACCAGATTTGCCAATTCCGATTCCATTACGTTTTTAACCATTTTTTCCCCACTTTTTCCTATTATAAACCCAATCCTTTCCAACCAATACTCAATAATTCACCACCTTTAAACTTTCCAACCATTTATTCCCATCTTTTTATTTCTTTTGAATTCTTTTTCATTAGATCCAATCTCAATTCATTTCTTTTTGGTATTTAATTCTTCCAATTTTTACTATAAATACCACCATTTTTCACCACAAAAGAAAAAAGATGACATTGAATCATACACTTTGATACACAAATTTCTCCATACAATTTCTTACCATATCACCACTATACCAAATTCCATCCAACCTTTGAACCACAATTGGGGATTCAAGAGTCAAAAAGCTAAGGAATTGAAGATTGCAGTGACATTAGGGACTACATCGGGTTTGTTTTATCGACATGTTTAACATTCTCAATATGTTTTCTATGTATGTTGTAACCTTAATTATGAGCTAAATTCTCTTTGCTTTCACTTGGATAATGAAACCTTGAAAATATGATTTGATTTATATTATTCGGATATTAATTGTTATTTATTTTATCATGCATATTTGATCATTTATTTGTATATGTTAAGTTTTTGTAATTAATTTTCCCATAACTAAGTTAATATTTTTAAAAGATCACTTTAATTATATTATCTTGAATCATAAATTTTTCATAACCATTGATATTTATGACTAGTAAAAGACAATATTCTAGGAATTGGGCAAAATAAAATACTAAAAATTTAACATGTATATTTTATATCGTACGACCAACTTACGATTCCTATTTGTTTTACTACCACTAAAATGAATAGTTTGATCAAATGTTTGCATGATACGAATTAATTATTGTTAATAAAATTGTTAATTGCATGACAATTGTTTTTAATTAATTTTATTATCAAAGCGGTAAAAAATTTAGATCATGATTTTTAACCAATTTTAGAAATCGGTAAATAACTAATAATATCCATTGCACTTAATATAAATCATTCATTACTAAAAGGTGGAATTAAATCTAAGTGAAAACATCCTTATCATTCTTGATTTTTAAAAACCAATTCTTGTTCTATATTTATTCTACACTTTAATTGTTAAAATTCTCATTATTGTCTTGTTACTAGAAATTCCCCCAAGTTACTTATCTTTTAAGTTAATTAGCGACAAATAGTCTAATATTAAATCATACTCGTTTCCCCAAGTGTTCGACATCCGTTCTTACCATTGCTATATTACAAATTCAATTAGGTACACTTGCCTAAGTCGATAGTAAATTCTAGTATCGGTAATTTCAACCTTATAAATTTAAGACTAGATAAATTTTACATCATATACACGACACACATACACGTATTATCAGGTCTAGTTTTGCTCAGAATCAATATGCGCTTCAGTCCTCCAATTCTACACATCTACACTTTAAGTTCCTCAGCTAGTCCACTTTAGGCCTTTATACTTTTCATCAAAGCCTACAATTACAAGCCCGTAATTCCAAGCCCAACGCCAATCTATCACACATTCAAATGTAACATGCACCTTAAACATTCTAAGTCACTTCATATAACAAATAATAATAATGTGCATTACATTCCATAGTTAAGATTGACCAAAGCATATGATATTTCAATAATTTTCAAATTAAATCATTACTTAGTCTTCTGATTTTATCATACTTAGCAGTTAAGTTTTTTTATGATATTTGCATAATAAAGTTATAAATATACGTTAACAAATGGATAATAAAAGCTATATTTTCTGTTATATATTGTTTAATTTTTATAAAAAAGAATTTGATTTGATATTTTATTAACATGCCTTGATTTACGGTTAATATCATAACACAGCTCAGATAGATCTGATCTCACAGTCCTTTTCCTCCATTACTGACCACGTCGAACCTTTTTCTTCCCAAATTCGCCTTCGATCAATCACCCACAAAACCCCCAAATTCGATCACTTCACTGCAAACCCTAACAATCCCATTTACATCGATGTCAAACCAACTGAAAGCGATCACCCTAACCCATGTCCGTTACTTTAAAGGAGATCAATTGGGCTGTTTCTTAGCATGGATTTCACTAGTTCCAGTGTTCATCAGCCTCGGTGGGTTTGTCTCTCACTTCCTCTTCCGTCGAGAGCTCCAAGGTATGTTCTTCGCTTTAGGATTAACAATTTCCCAATTCATCAACGAAGTGATCAAAACCAACGTCCAACAAGCCCGGCCGGAGACCTGCGTGCTGCTTGAAATGTGCGATTCGCATGGTTGGCCTTCGAGTCATTCCCAGTACATGTTCTTCTTCGCAACATATTTGACTCTGCTGACTTACAAAAAGTTCGGGATTTTGTTTAGAAAGCAGATGTTGTTAGTAGCTCTTGTGATCTGGCCATTGGCGTTGCTTACGATGTATTCTAGGGTTTATTTGGGGTACCATACAGTCGCCCAGGTGTTCGCCGGTGCTGGACTTGGGATCTTTCTTGGTGGGTTGTGGTTTTGGGTGGTTAATTCGATTCTCAGAGGGTTTTTTCCGGTGATCGAAGAGAGTTTTTTTGGAAGATGGTTTTATGTTAAGGATACTTCACATATACCAAATTTGTTGAAATTTGAATACGAGAATGCTATAGCTGCAAGAAGACATTCATCTTATAAGCGTGCAGATTGATTAAAGAATAGAATTGGTCAATTGGGTAAGTGATTTTATGATTTTATCTATATGAACATTTGTTCTTTCGTTGATTCTATAATGTAATCATGTTATATGTTAATTTTGTATATGATATTTTTATTTGAATAGGGTAAGATTGGAATCTAAAAACATGGTGTTCTATCACCAATTTTGCACTAAAGATTTGATTTTTTTTAGCATCATCAAGATTCAAGAACCCAATGCTAAAGTATAAATTGTTTTTTCTTGTTCATAGGTGATGTGGAAGGAAGGTGGCCTGCTGTTTGGTGTTTAAAAGATTTGCAGTGGGTCTGTAATGTGTTTAATTTGACAGAATTAAAAGTCGATATATATCTTTACTCTTTATTAGAACTTGATTGTATTGTTGCAACTAGTCACTTATAGTTTATCTTATATGGTTTAAATGTTTAATTGGTCATATTTTATTAGACGAGTTGAAATTGTAAAAGAAGAATTATATCCCATGTCTTTAATCTTTTGCTGCTGTTTTTGACGTGTTTGGCAAAAATAGTTGTTACTGGTAGCGGGAAGCTGTAGTTTTTATTTGTTATTTGAGTGTTTGACAAAAGTAGCTGAAAGCTTTTTAAATATATAAAATTACATAAAAGGACAACTGATTAAATAAATAAATATATAACTATATTTTTAAGGGTAATTATGGAAATTGATTTCAAAAACTCTGTAGCGTTTTGTTAAACGCTACATGAAGTAGCTTTTAGATTTGGAGCGTTTTGTTTAAACTAAAAGGTAAACGTTGTACTGCCAAACGAATAGAGCGTTTTGTCAAAAGCTAAAAGCTAGAAGCTCTCAAACGCTTCCAAAAGCTCCGTGCCAAACACGTTTATGTGTTTTGATTATCCTTTTATTTGTGTTTTTTCTTTTGGATTTTGTGGATGATGTGCGGTATACATTTCATATATTTTTCATTTTGTATGTCCCAAAACAGAATCATAACCAAAAAAATAAAACTTTGATTGTAGTATTTTGGTACTTCTATATTTTTCATTTTATATGGAAACCACATTAGCTTTTTGCCTAGTCAGCTAAATGAGAAACATGAAACACTTGAAACAAACCAGTTTATTGGTTAAATTTGTAACGAAATGGTAAACTTAATGACTTAATTGAGAAAAAGAAAAACACTGTGCCAAACAAAATTTTATGCAAACTTGGTGTATTTTATACGATTTGCCCAATAATTTATGATACGACTTTAGAAGTTTTATGTTGGACTTATTTTTATCACCAATTTCATCATTAATCTATAAGCTTCATGTCATGGATATTTAATCATTAACTAATCTAATTCTACAACTACTTCATGAAGGGCTTCATGTCATGGATTTGTAGTCATTTAATCATTAACTAATCTAATTCTACAACTACTTCATGAAGGATTTCTCATGAAAGATCATCAAAATGTCATGATTTCATATGTTGCTTACAACCACAATACACTACCTATTGGTGGTATACCCTACCTTATTGGTTGAGCCCCGAAACCATAACTATAATACATACCTTCTGAGACCGACTCATTTGCGATCCCATGACAAAGAATCTAGGCCCGTTGTCCGAATATTGGCTCCAATATCTCCCACCATACAAACAATTAGGGTCGACCAGTAAATGGAGGGACATAGCAGACAAAACTTGGAAAAGCATGTTGTACCTTCTACGAAAAGGCAAGACATGTCTCCCCCACCAACACCACATATACTTGCATCATTGGAGGTACCAATAAGCAATTTCGAACTCTTGTATTCATTCTCTCGCTCTCGTACACTCTCTTGAGTTAACACCTTAACTTGGTCATCTTAGTGTTAGAGTAGAGCCTAATCATGGACACAACCCCCATATTACAATCGACCTTAATCTCCACTTGTAATAAACTAGTGGCATTTCTAGGAATTTAGATGTATATATATAAACATGATCAGAACTTAAAATACGACTTGTACAAAATTGCTTAATATTTAAAGTCATACATCTCAAAAACCAAATATAAACAAAATTACAATTGAATGCAACAAATCTTTATATGTATATATAAATTTGGGACGGAAATTAGGGAAACATTAATTGAGATGGTTATGTAAGCCAAAACCGATCAAACCTAATGTAATTCGTTGGTGAATGGATTATGTTAAAATCGGCTATCGAAAGTAACGATGAGTGCAACACTCATATTTCTCTTAAAAAAGTATGTATTAAAATAAAAGGACGTAAAAATGAACTAGGCTCATTTTTGTTTTCAATAATACAATTCTTTTTCCAAACGCAAAATTATCATTATTTTATTGGGTGTACTGCATACCTTGTTACAGACACTCACAGTGCCTCCATGGCATTCATAGCGGGGATTAGGCGGTACGTAAAAGCTTACCCGTAAACCCTACCTAGGGAAATTCATTTTAAGAAAAACTAGAGGTGACAATTCTCGATCCAACCCGTAACCCAATACGAAAATAACTGAGTTTGGGTTGAGATTTTTGACCCGTCAACCTGTTTATTTCATGGGTTGGATTAGATTATCTGTTTGGGTTCGTACGTCAACCTACCAACCCGATTATATATAGTATATTTAAAAAAAAATATTTATGAATTAACAAAATATAGGCAATATACAGACTTTTTTTCTTTCACATGTGTTGCTTATTAAGTTATTATCTTAGATTAGTATTTGGTTGTTCATTTCATTCTAGTAATTGTAGATGCTAATTATTAATTAATTTTATGACTTGCACAATTAGTATAAATTTAACATGTAAAAATTTATCCGAAAATGATATGTCGACTGTTTAACCCGAAATTAACCCCCTACCCCGCGAAACCAATATAATTAAACGAGTTATATGAGTTAGGTTGAGTTGATGTTTCCAACCCGTCAACCTGTGACCCGACAACCCATATATTTTATGGATTGGATTAGGTCAATGTATTCTAACCCGCTAACCCGCCAACTCGAAACCGACCTAAGTGCCAGACCTAAGAAAAACAAGAGTAAGTTGCAAAATTGGTCCTTGTGGTATAAATAAATTTAGATTGAGTCTATTTTTTTCATTTGAATGGTCGGTCCAAAATTGAAATTTTAATGCCGATTTAATCTCTATGGTATCACAAAAAATGCAGTTTGAATCCTTTTTTGGATGACAATTAACTCAAGGGACTAAATTTGTACTTTTTAAGATACTATAAGGACCAAACATACATAAAAGTTTCAATTCTAGACTGACTATACAAATAAATAGAAATAGGAGTAAATTACACGAATGGTCACTGTAGTTTGGGATAATTTGCGCGATTGGTCTCTAACTTATTTTTTTAACTTGGAAAGTACATATTGTTTGTTTTTGTTACGTGTTTAGTCCCTGTCTTACCTAAAAAGAATTTTATTTAAATAGGGAAAAATGGAGGCGTATGTAAGGTAAGGTAAGGGAGGTGGGGTTAGGGGTGTGTTTATTTAAATAAATTAAAAAATCAAGGGCAAAATAACTTTTTTTAGGTAAGACATGGACCAAACGCGTAATAAAAACAATAATAAGGACCTTCCGAGTTAAAAAAATAAGTTAGGAACAAACGCACAAATTACCCTAAACCATAGGGACCATTCGTATAATTTACTATTTCTAGACTTAAACTATATATTTTTGAGATAGAAGTAGAACCAACTTTGCAATTTACTAGAAAACCACAAAAATGTTGCATTTACTGATTTACCCCAGTAAAAATCTTGAAATTGAAAAACTCCCTCCAAAAATCAAACATTTTTCAAAATCAGGAAGCACGTGAATTTCAGCTTTTTCTTTTATTTTTCTTTGACCCCTCGTCGCCCCTCATTTGGCTCTGCTACTTCCATGTGTTGATGATGGGTACGGTTTCCTAAATGTTCTTCAATGCCTCCAAATCTATAAACTGCATTCACCTACTTCATTTAAATCCCTTGAAAATCTTTGAACACAACTACTTCAATTTCAAATTTTATCTTATATCTCTAAAACCCTAGTTCTCGATTAAGATCACACCATGTGGCAAGTCTTGTTAGGTGCAGCAATAGCAGGATCTGGGTATTTCGCTAAACAACTTCTCCACAAAAACGAAGACAAGCCCACGAATTATTCCCCGATAAACGTTGATCAACCTGTCGAGAATGCTGAATCAGATTCTTCAATTTTGGAAGAAGATACATCATCGATTTTTAGGTTTTCCAGTACTTCACATGGGTCAAAGAATCCTCGGAAGAAATTGGGTCGTGGTGGCGGGATTAAATGTGCTAGAGGAAATCATGAAAGAAAATCTGGGTTTGAGAAGAAAATTGGTGATGGATTAGTTGATGATCAGAGGAAGAATGGGAAGAAATTTACAGTCTGTTTGAAGAAAAGGCGTATCGGAAGAAATGCTTCTGCTAAATGTGATTCGTTTGATGTCAAAGGTAATCTACTGTGCCTTTTTATGTTCATAATCTTAAGTTATTGTATGCTTTTGTGTTGTGCGAATGTGCAATCTATGTATGTTCTTGCTTTTGCAAAAGATTTGACCTTTTTCTCGTTTGACCTAATTGGTTTTAGTTTATATACTGATTAGTGTAGTTGAGTTAATGAACAATGAGCATTAGGCGATGAAATGTAAAGGGTGCTCATCACTAATCGGCTTCCCATTTCGCATTATAAGCTAGATTCAGAAAATCTCATGTCTTTGATTCATTTCAATATGTTCAGATAAATCATCATTCGGTTGGGGAGTTGGAGTTGGAATAATGTACATGATGTCAGCTGGAAAAGCCGAAATCAATAAACTAAACACAGCAGTAGATGAAACAGCTAAGGTCGTTCAAGAATTAAAAAACGAGATCTTCAAAAGAAAATCATCGCGTAATTCAGAAATCAAAAGAACCCTAAATCAGAAATCGGTAGATATCAAATGGGATCAATCTGTTCTCGAGAAATCATCCATGGAGAACAACGATATTGAATCATACAATTTTCCGGCGACTGACGATGCAAGCAGCATGATCACGGAAGAACCACATCAAGAGGTCACGGAAATGGATCAATTAGAAGCGGAACTTGAATCTGAGCTTTTAAAACTTCATATCTCGAAATCACAAGATCATGATTTGGAATCTAATCAAAGCGGTGGTGTAATCCCATATGAACTTGATCAGAAATTATGTCATCTGCTAATCGAACAACAGGAAAGTCAAATTGTTGACTTGGAATCGGAATTGCATTTTACGAATTCCAAGCTTTTGGAGAAGGAATCGGAGCTTCAAGCATTGAAGGATTGCGTTAAACGTCTCACTGAGTTTTCTCTGACATGTCCCTCAGGTACACGTTTCCTTTCTTCATTAATGGTGATTTCTGAACAAACTTTGCTCCAATTATGAGCATGGAATTGGAATTGAAGATTGAATTCTGAACCAACTTTGCTCCAATTCCAATTCTAGACCATCGAACCAAGGGTCTTTTTGGTTTCATGGATGGAATGGAATGAATAAGATGAGTCATTACATTATATGATCATGTTTAGTTGGATTTAAGTATAGAATATTTTTTTTATATGATTCTTTTACATGTATTACATGAGTTTATTCAAAAAAATAAACAAACATGAAAATGTAACAATTTAGAAAATTTAAATTTATAAGAAAAAAAGTAAAATATTTAATTATTAAAATTGAAGTGTTTATTTATCTTTTAAATTTAAACTAATAATTTAAATAAATAAACAACTAAAATAATTGGATTCAATTTATAAATTTAGAAATTATAAGGAAAGTTGCATTAATTAATTGGATATACATTTATTATATTTAAGTATTATATGAACTTTAATAAAATGGAAAAAACCACAAAATGACACATGAATACAATTTAATCTAGATTTATCACAAAATGATATGTGGCATAATGAATAAGAAAATAACAGATGTCAAAATTATTTTCATTTATTAGGTAAGATGAATATGAATAGGTGTAGTTGAATACTAAAATATAGTTATAATTATAATTATAATAATCACTAAAATGACCAAAATAGGTTCTTATAAAAATTTTGACTACCTTTTTGAGAATTTCTTACAGAATAACTACTATGCAAAAAGTTCTTTGTAAATTGCTTTATGAATGGTCTCTATTTTGTTTTTTCGCTAGATGACACATTTGGCGAAAAAATGATGTAATTTTGTTTTCAAATGTTTTTTTTTTATTTTTTTATTTTTTTATTCGAGAATAGGTATTCAAGTGGCCCATTTTGTAAAACGGGTGGTTATTTTGTATTAAATGTGATCATTTTGGTCATTTTAGTGACTAACCCAATTGAGATTTTAATAAAAAATTATTCTGGTTAATTTTAGAAAATAAAACCAGAATTCAGTTACAATCATGAAATCTTTAAAAAAATTTATCATTAAATGGGCTACATTCCATTCCTTCTCCAACTCATATCTCACACCACATTACATAAAACATTATTGTTATTATATAATGTTTTTTTTTTCTTTCTTTTTATGAAATTAAACCTTTATTTTTCAGATGAAGAAAGAGAAGGCCAGATCGATGAAGCTCATAACAAGTTGATTAATGGGAATGGAAGATCAATGGTTGGGATCAAAAGAGCAATAGACTTCGATTGAAATTCATTTCTTCATATACTAACCTAGCTAAACATTGTTTATATGATAAAGTAACATAACAATATTCTATTTCTAGATATTTAAATCCTAATCCTTGCTACTTTCAAGTTATTTTTTCAAAAGATTTCACTATACTTCCACAAAAAAAGTTATTTTTCGACCTCGTCTCTTATAAACGAAACTTTATTTTTCCATAACCTAACTTGTTTTATGATAGTTAAGAGCCCTAAAATATAATTAATCATTGTCCGAATCCAATTTTTTTATTTGAGAAAATGTTGGATCTTGTGAAAGTCTAGTGATAGATTGTGTGTATTTTGGTGTTAGTAGGGGCAAGTCATTATTGTGGGGGGTCAAAACTCAAAAGACACAAGTTCTTGATTGTGTGCAAGAAAGGAAATAATTTCTGAAACCCATGTTGACAATTTGTTGTGTTGTTTATTGGAGTGTTGGGTGACTCTCCTACATGATCTGTCACGTCAAAACGGGGTGAAATTCCTAAATTATACTAGATGTGGACATGCTCTAGGGTATGTCTCCAAAGGGGAGTTGGGGGTAGTTTTGTAAAAATACCAAAAGGGAAATCTACCATGTAAATGATTTAGTAGGTTGCACAGAAAAATAGACACTAGAAGGGAATGGTGGGGAGCTATTTTGGGTGTTTGGAATTTTACCTTTTTTTCGTATCATATTTGTGGTTGGGATGTGTTTTTATATTTTTTTATTAAGGAAAATTTAAAATATGAATAATTACAAATTTACAAAGACTTCTTTAAACACTGCATTATCTTATCGTCGTGCTTCTTTATTATATGTTCTCTCATCCGTCTCCACCCTTTGGAGTGAAAATCGTTGCCTATGTTCTAACTTCTAAATATATGTCTGAAAGAGTATAAAAGAGTGTAAAACCCTATGTATAATGAATTCACGTGTTTAGTACAACTATATAGATATAAGCATTTAACATAGAATGAAATAATTTGATAAGATCATCATCATGTATTAAAGTCGTTTTCGTGCCAAATGGTGTCACTTATCCCATTTAATATTTATACATTGCATGTACTAAAAGCTCACCACACATGTATGTTTATATTTAATGAGTTCATGAGTTTAATGTATGAAAATCGACATAAATATTTAACATGCAACAAGTTTAATAAAATCATTATCATGTAAGGCTACTCAAAGTGGGACGTAAAATGGTGTGCGTTGTGTGCGTTATAGCAGTGAACATCAACCTAATGGCGGGGTGACAAACATGGTTGTTGTTGGAACCCTGACTATAATTCTCTCTCACTCATCCACCACATTAATACATAAAGTATAAATATAGTAATGTGATGTGAAGTGGTGACTATTACTAAGGTGTTGTTTGTTTTTTAAAAAAAACATCTTCAAACCACTTTCTGCTGCGCGGCGCAGCACACGCGCAACACTTTCCCTCTCGCAACAGTTTGTTTTTTGGAAGACTTCAGATTCCAAAACCTTTGCGCGTGTGCTGCGTGACGCAGCACTTGACTTGCATCTTCAAACCTCTTAAGCTTTCATTTTTTTGAAGTGTTTTTTTAGAATTTTGGTATAACTTATTTTTTTAAACTTTTATTTGTTTAAAAAACTTAAAATTTTTTAAACTTTTATTTACGGATTTGATACAATTTTTTGTTATAGTTTCCACAATTTTTTTTAACTTGATTTTTGAAAAAAAAAACTTTAATTTTTTTTACCGTTTCAGTTAATAATATTTTCAGTTTCAATTTCATCTTTTTTAACGTGTGTAATTTTTTACGAACTTTGTAGACATCGTTTGCAATTCTTTCTTAATTTTTTTTATTTTCTTTTTTTATGTTTTTTAAAATTAATTTTTTTCTAGAATAAAGTTGGTAGCTTCTTTTATATTTTTATAAGTTTTTTTTTAAAGTTTTATATTTTTGTTTTTTTACATGTTCTTTTTAGTATTCTTTCAATGTTTTAAGACTAGAATTATTTAAATTTCGATGTTGAAAACTATTTTCAGTTTATAAAATTAGTTTATTTAAACTTCAGTTTACTGCAGCAGTCTGCAGATGTTAAAAAACAAACATGCTTCTTATTATGGGCTGCAGGCGTTTGTTCCACCTCTTCTGCTACAGATGATTGCAGAGGTAGTTCGCAGACTTCACAAATTTTCGATTCGAAAAAACAAACAGCACCTGAGTGTCTTGGTTGGAAAGTGGTAGTGATGTCACGATGAAATAAAAAAACTTCAATTGGTGACATGATAGGCTAACAATTATTGAAATGTTATTCAATATATAAAGATAGGTTTTATCGTTAAATACCTTTGTGATAATATTTAAGAAAACAAATTATTTAAAAGTCGAAGAAAAAAACTATTTTTATAATCAACATATCCTACCTAAAATTTACTTATTTCGACTTGAACTTGTTCTAAATATTAGCCAACTACACTCTTTTGTTACATTTTATAAATAATTTTAAAAGATTGGAAAGAAAAGGGTTTTGTGGGTGTTGTCATATCTACAAGACCATACATAGTCCCTATGAAAAAAGTATATCTTGTAAAGAGTGACTCCAAACATAACCTTACAATAACTTTTGTATTTTACATTACATATCTTATCGAAAAATAACTTTGTTTTTCTTCATTTTCTTTAATTATGACGGTGTTATAATTTCAATATTAAATAGCTAAATTTTAATCCAAAATCTGATGTTATATGTCTATTAATTTTCAAAAAGGTATCAATAAGTATAATAAATATAAGACAAAATTGCAAGAATTGTCCCTGTGTTATGTCAAAACTAACATCTTTGGTCCAAAATGGGTTTGGCTCGTAAGGATGGTCCAATAGTTTCGTTTTGTTGCGAGTTTAGTCCAAAAATTTTATAACTTTTTATAATGATGGATTTGCCCTTGGTATTTTCCCTTTTTCAATTTTTTTATTACCTTTTTTTAATTTTTTTATTACAGAAATCAAAAAAAGAAAAAGAAAAATCTCTCTCTCTCTCTCTCTCTCTCTCTCTTTCTCTCTCTCTCTCTCTCATCTCCAACTCGTCTATCTCCCTCGTTTCTCACTTCTCCGGTAAAGAGAGCCACCACAGTCGACTGTGGCAGCTCCTCCGCCTCCCCCTGTCGTGACCCACCACCATCCAACATCCCAAATCCAAATCCACAATAGGTGTTCTTCGTTCTTGATTTTGGATCTGAAATAAAACCCAAATCCAAAAGTTGAAGGTAGGTATGTTCTTGGTTCCAATTTTGAAACGAAGATGAAGAAGGGTAGTTCTGAAACAAAATCCACACACAAAACCTTACCTGAAACGAAAACCCACCATCGATTCGAAGAGAAACGAAAACCCACCATTGATTTTGGATCTGAAATAAATCACTACATTTGTTGCCTCCTGTTTTACTTTCCTGCCAACGAGAATGAAGAGAAAGGAAGCTGGTGGTCGGAAGGAGTGACAACATTTGGTGGCCGAAACTCACAACAACAGCGGTGACATCAAGCTGTTTGGGTGGCAGAGCGACGTGAGGAGCTGGGTTTCCTCCTTAGCGGTGCAGTATGACTGGAGAGAGGTAACGAGGGTGGTGAGGTCATGTACGGTGGTGAAAGGTAGCGTTGAGCGACTTGGACGGGCGGAACAAGGCTGACAGTCAACGAGTCTCCTTCTCTCGTCATCGTTGCAGATTCAAAGGGGGGGGGGGGTGGATGAAGAAAGTCGGGAAAGGCAGTGGTGGTGCTGTGACAGGCGAAGAGGTGGTGGATGTTCACGGTGGTCACCACAGGAACACCATCGGTGTCATAACCACTGGTGCTCCATTCTTTGTTTGTGAAATAGGGACGAAAGGAAGAAAGGAGATGAATCAAGAGAGAGAGAGAGAGAGAGAGAGAGAGAGATTTTATTTTTGTTTTATTTTTAATTGTTGTAATAAAAGAAAAATGGAAAATAAAATAATAAGGGGCAAATCCGTCATTATAAAAAAGTTCATAGGAAATTGGACTAAACTCGCAACAAAATGAAACTATTGGACCATCCTTGCGAGCCAAACCCATTTTGGACCAAAGTTGCTAGTTTTGACATACCACAGGGACCATTCTTGCAATTTTGTCTAAATATAAATAAATTGGTGTCAAAAGTCAAATTGTAATTATTTGAATTAAGTAGTTACAGACTTGGATGGAGAAAGTAAGTAATTAAATAATAACTTATTCTTGTCACTCAAATCTCTACCTTTTCAAGCAAAAAGTTGTCTGATGACCATCCACCCGTGCAAATTAAAATAAATAAATGATATAAAAAGGACAATTTGTTTTTATGTTAAATAACATTTAAATTGGAATATTCACACAAACTATCATTTCGTCAAGATAATAAAGTAAAATTGATTTAGTAGGCCTGTTATTATTATTTTTTTTTCGGGTAATTTGTGTTTTTTATTTTCTAACAACAAACTTATTGGAAGTGTTTACATATAATCATTATGACTGACTGTAACAAATTATAGTTTACGTGACATATATACAACATAAATAATTATTCAGAAGGGTAATCAACTATTGGTTCTGTTTATATCTAGACAATTTTTTTGTTCACATTCGACCATCCAACTTATTGAAGTTGTTCATATAATACCATTGTTTTAAAATTTCAAAATCAGTAGTTAAAGTTGAGAAAATTGAAGGTTAGGTTGTCTATATTGAAGTCGGTAGTTGTATCTTTATTTTATTTTGTACGACCAAATTATATTAATAAAGTGATTATGGTTCATTTTTAATCTTCTTGTCGAATACACTTAATTTGTCGACATCACCAAAGTGAAATTTTAACATGGTCTAAGTACACTAAGGTATTTCCCTAAAATACACATTAAGGGGTCTAAGCATACTAAAAATACACTAAAGTATTTCCCTTAAAACCACGAACTCACTAGACCCAATCCTTACTCGGTTAAAACTTTAAAGATGCACTAACATACTTTAGATGATTGATTTATATGTTACTATGTGTTAGCTGGTTGATTGTATTTTCTTACTTGATATATATTAAGAGTTTTTACGTTGATAATGTTGGGTTTTATTCAAAAATAGTTTAAAAAAACAAAGATAGCAACAGAAGATTTTA